TGTCCCCCGCCTGCTCCCGAGCACGCGTCCTGCCCGGCCCCTCGCTCCGCGTTCCTCCTGCCCCGCGCCACTTCCATTCCGCAGAGAGATGCCCGCCACGTTTCCGCTTTCTCTGCAGCCTCTAGATTGCCAGATGCGACTGTGCGCCTTGCTGGGTGTGTTTTCCACAGCCCCTTCCTCCCTCGGCGGGCAGGGCTGACATCACCGACTGCGTTTCTGGTTTGGCGGGTGGGGAGATGGTTCCCCGCAGGGTTCTGGTACACCTTTTGCCCCCAAGGCTAGCGCCCTTTGGGGGAGGAGGATTTCGTTTTCGAGAAAGTTGGGTGCCCCTGGTAACCCCTCTAACAAGAGAGTTTTGTAGCGAGGTGGGACTATTCTCCCCATAAGGTGACAGTTTCTCTTGCGAGGTGTGGCGGTGCTTCCTGTTGTACAAGACAGATGTTGCCCTGGCGTTACGTAAATCATCGTGTCTCCCTCATTTAATTTTAAGAAAGCCAATTTTTAGTGATTGGGGTAGAAAGAAAGATCCATTTATAATCTGTAAAAATAAGTTTTCACCCAATATCAATATATTGGAACGTCATTCTTGCTGTTAAAGTTTTCACTTAAGAGAATAAACTTCATCAGCGTTCTATTAGGACTTATTTTGTAATTGGCTTCTTAGGCATCCTTTAAAAGAGAAATACACATTAGCTCTCCTTGAGGTCTCGAATTCCCTCGGCTGGAGGCACGGGTTCAGTGTGGTGGAGACCAAATAATGCAACTGAGAATTACCTTCGTGGCCATTACTGCCTCGATTGAAGTGTGTTTATTAAGCACAGTTCTTATGTCATTCTTAAGGGTTAATACTCTCCAGCAAATTTAGTAGACCCTCTTTGCCAGAAAAGAGAGGAGTATATGTAGTCTGATAATTATTGTGTAGTTTTCTGTGTACTTAATTTTTGTAGTTTTGTAACACTTCATTTATAAGATGGTACCATTTTTTCCTGGCTTCTGAATAATAGGATAATTTGACCCAGGGCATTAACCATTGTAAATGGTAGGCTTTTAACAAATAACTGCCTAATTTAAAGGATTGGAAAGCATTTGTTACATGGAAATGAAGTTGGTGGGGTACCCAGTTGCTGTATCTTTATTTTTTCCACTTAATTATTTCTCATAAAATGAATGTGAAAGCCTGTTAATCCAACCCAATGCCATTATGTAACGACAGTTTGGAGATTTCGAGGGCCTGGAGCAGTGCGCAAGGTGCGCTGAAAGCCTGCCCTGATCCTGGCTGTGGTGGCAGTGGCAGTGGGCTGGGTCCCTTGTTGAGTGGAACAGGGGACTGCGGTGTCCATGGTGCAGTAGATGGCGCGCTTCTGTCTTAGAGCCCGCTGCCACTGCAGCTGGTGCCATGGGGCTTTCTGCCGCTAGAGGTGCCATTTTTCACATGATGAACTTAGCCTAGTTAGATCGCAGAGCAAGCTGTAAGCCATGGGCCCAGAAAACTTGAAGTGAGCAGAGGTTGTCACTTCCTCGTAATCGTTTGTTAAAATAGCATAAAGAGTTTCCTTTATTCTAATTACTTTCATTAAATGACAGTGCTACAGGTTTCAAAAGATTTTTTGAAGATCGATTTTTGAAAGATCACAATATTAAAAGTATAATTGGAAAACCTATGTTGAAATCAACCAAACATGTTGTGGACTGAATGATAACCTTTTCTTTCTTCACGTAGGCTGATCAGCTGACCGAGGAACAGATTGCTGGTAAGTTGACAACTCCAAGGAGTCCCCAGAAGGCCAGAACTAGGCATTGACTCAGTTTTGGTGACTCCTCTGTTCCTCCCCGCTACAGTCTGGGCAGTTTTCTAAGAATTTATTTAAAGAAGAACAGTAAGCAGAAACATTGAGGTCAGGTGTTATTCTTGCCAGTACTTTATAGATGAGGTGAAAGGAGGTAAAATCAGGATGCCCACTTGTTAAATTCTGGAGAATTTGACCATGTTTCACAGTGTGCAAAGTTTGCCTATGATTAAATTGTACTGAGCCTGCTACTCAGCAATTTAGTTTACAGTTCTTATGCCATGGGTCTTTCAGTAATCTGCCCTGAAAGCTTGTGCTTGCTATCCTAAAATAAATGGAAATGGGTGACAATGAGTGTTAGGACCACTGTAATAATTGGGAAGAAAGTTACATTAGTTAAACTCTGTTGCCTAGGCTGGACTCTTAACTCCTGGGCTCAAGCAGTCCTCCTGCCTCAGCCTCCCGAGTAGCTGGGATTACAGGCATGTGCCACCATGCCTGGCAGATTTTAGCTTTTTAAAGTCCTGGAGGACTCGTTTTGAGACTGTTTCTCTTTAGGAAACCAGGAATGCTTCTGAAATATCCTAAAAGTCATGTGGAGAAAAACAGATTGTTAACCTGGAAATGTACATTTCTAGTAACCATTCCATGTTGTTATGAAACAGGGGATTCGTATGGCTTTAGAAATGTAACAGGAAGAGACTTGAAGGGGGCACATGGACCAGTCTTGTCAGATGGGATTTAGTCCCTTGAACCCAGGAGGCAGAGGTGGTAGTGAGCTGAGATTGCACCACTGCACACTGCACTCAGCCTGGGTGGCAGAGTGAGGCTCCATTATTTAAAAAAAAAACAAAACAAAACTGGATTTAGGACTAATTTAAGCATGTTCCAGCTTAGCCGCCTTGAAACCTGTGGGAATATTGTGGTGTATGGCACCGTTTACTGGAGCAGTGTTTGCTTTATAGGCTGCTGTATGAAGGCCAGTCCAACAAGACTATTGTGGTCTTTATTTCGTTAGATAAAGACCAGACTTCTGATACCTTGCACAACTTGAATGGCTTGCTTTGGCAAGCCCCTGGCAAGTGTATATTGTGACTGGGTTGGATAAAGACATTCATTCTAACGGGTCAACTTTTGTTTTCAGAATTCAAGGAAGCTTTCTCCCTATTCGATAAGGATGGCGATGGCACCATCACAACAAAGGAACTTGGAACTGTCATGAGGTCACTGGGTCAGAACCCAACAGAAGCTGAATTGCAGGATATGATCAACGAAGTGGATGCTGATGGTAAGAGCTTTAGAACCATGAATGAGGGCCATTGTTGTGTAATTCAAGTTCAGAAATGTCACAGAATTGTCTTTCAGGTCCCCAGAGCAAAGCAGATGTGCAAAGATCCTTTCTGTGGTTGCCTTAGGGCCATTGACAATTACAATAAAAGATGATGGGCCTTGTGTCCGTCCTGCTTAGCTTCTACAACGTTTTCTGCAGGGATCACTGTATTGTTTTTTTTCTGCTTGGCGTGACCTAGAGCTCAGATTTTTTTTTTCTTTTTGAGACGGAGTCTTGCCCTGTCGCCCAGGCTGGAGTGCACTGGTGCGATCTCGGCTCACTGCAACCTCTGCCTCCCGGGTTCAAGCAATTCTCCGCCTCAGCCTTCTGAGTAGCTGGAATTACAGGCGTGTGTCACCGCCCCCAGTTAGTGTTTTGTATCTTTAGTAGAGATGGGATTTCACCATGTTGGCAAGGCTGGTCTCAAACTCCTGACCTCGTTGTCTGCCCGCCTCAGCCTCCCAAAGTGCTGGGATTACAGGCATGAACCACCGCTCCTGGCTGAGCTCAAAGCTTTTATCAACTGGCCCATGAGTCTGCACTGAGTCTTGATGGGGAGGTGAAATTAAATAGCCACAGAACGTGCTTTGTAACAAACTTACTGTGTCTAAAGAGGAGGAGGAGCCACCAGATGAAGTGGGTGACAAGCACTCTTAGAAGTTACCATGAAAGTGAGTACAGTGTGAGCTTGTAGATGTGTTTGCTGCGGAGGAGCATGTGAGGTTTGGAGGCGGATGTGTGGTGACTCTAGGGGATAGTTTTGCAGAACCTAATGGAAAGGGAAGCTGTAAGGTCCAGGGTCAGAGGGAACCAGCAGTAACCCTGATAGCGGTTTGTCATCTGTTCCTCTCGACTCTACAGCAGTGGACAACAGACCTTTGATTGCTGATTTCCACTTCCCCACCCCTAAAAGAAACACGTATTTTGGTAAATCATATATATATTGTAATGTGTACTATATAACATTACAGAACATGATTTTTAAAAGATGAGTTGCGGGGAGAGAAGGTCAAAAGAAAAAATAAAAGATGAGTTAAGAATAAACAATTCGGATCTAGATTTTACTTTCTAGATGATTGACTCAAAGGCGGTGTAGTAAAATCGCTTGTCTGGTCACAAACATTTGGAAGCAGAGCTTTTGATTAGGTTATTTGACAAAGCTTTCAGCACATTAGAGTGGTTTTCACTAATAGTGTTTTGAAAAGAAAAAGTTTCCCATAGTTCTCTCTAGTTTGACTGCTAAGATGATCAGCTATCTGGGAACATGGAGTAACTTCCTCTTGTTTGTGGGAGCCCTGGGAATCTGTGCTTGGGGAGGGGAGAAGTCTGTTAGGCTCTTGGATTGTGTGGAAGAAGGAGAAGTTGTGCCAGGCTACAGAATCCTGTGTTTGCACTGAGAAAATAGGATGGTACCTGACCTTCTCTGCATGGCTGTGAGACAGCTTAAAATAATTTCTCTTGTCTTTGATGAATATGAACAATATCTTACAATTTTTGAGGCTAAAAAGTCTTGAAGGGATCCCTGAGGTATTTTCTCTTAAAGGTACTGGTGAAAATGAGTAACTTAACCTAGGGTTTTTCTTCCTAATTTTATTTCCATTTAGTTCAATTACACTGTTAGTCTGGAGTGCTTGTCTTTAGGGGTATTTATCTCTTAGTTTTAAAGAGGAGTTGTTTGGAGTACTGGCCCTAGAACAGATTCTTCTGAGAGTTCCGTAAGTGTTACTGGTCTGAGCTGTGAGAATGCTGCTGAGCTTTTCCCTTAATGGGAAATAAAGATGCTGAGTTGGAAGAAAACAGGTGGCCAACCTTCATAGTGTGGCCAAGAAATGATCCTGGAGAAGACTTGGTAAGACTTTATGGCCCATGCATGGCATAGCAAAATCAATGTTCCTCACTCATAATCTTTTCTCCCCTGAAACACTTTATACTCTTAACCTGCAGCTCAGTTCTAGGCCTTTTTTGCGTTACTGCCGTCACTAGCCAAGACAGAGTTAGACCTGAGTGATTTCCCTGACTCAGGGATGGCAGTCGGGGGCGCTTCTTCCCTCAGAGTGGAAAGATTCAGCCTGCAGAGTGGTGTGTGCTGTTCTTTTTCTTGAACTGTACAACCCTGCATGACCCTTCCATGGGCTAGAATCCAGATGTGCAGTTTCCTTTGTATGATTAAATACTATTCTGGGCACTGATGATGAGTTTGAAATTATATGAAATTGCCCCGTGAAGTGTTTGAACATTTTAGACCTGCAAATGTTTGAACCTAGTAAGATAGTTTGCCCCTTTGTCCTAGTGTGTGTTTACCATTCTGTACAGTGGTTCTGAAATGATTACTGCAGAGCAACATTCATGGAGTGCTTACTTTACATGAGCTTTTGTTTTTTAATTTGAGGTAATGGCACCATTGACTTCCCTGAATTTTTGACTATGATGGCTAGAAAAATGAAAGATACAGATAGTGAAGAAGAAATCCGTGAGGCATTCCGAGTCTTTGACAAGGTAATCCAGCGTCTACGTAGCAGATGGTACTTAAGTATGGCTGCTTCTGCTGTCACTTCTAAAAGCTATAATAATGTTATAGGCAGAAGACTTAAATCTAACTGCCTGAGCCTTTGATCTCACTTTCAAAAGTCCTCTTTATAGTAACTGTATCAGGTGAAGGTAGGCATAATAAATAGGAATTTTGGACCACGTTTCTTGACTGTTACTTTGAATCATTGTGAGCTTTTGAAAATCCTGTTTTCTGCATTAGCTGTTTGCATGTATTTAGAAGGTTAGAGGTGGGAACTAGAGATCAGAGAATTGTTGATGGGAGCAGAGTTAGCAGTAACTTGAGAGGGCGTAGCTAAGTCAAAGACCTACTTCCTCACACCACAGCATTAGCAATAACAATTGCTGAATGTTCACAGGATGGCAATGGTTACATCAGTGCAGCAGAACTACGTCACGTCATGACAAACTTAGGAGAAAAACTAACAGATGAAGAAGTAGATGAAATGATCAGAGAAGCAGATATTGATGGAGATGGACAAGTCAACTATGAAGGTAAAACGAAATTATTTGAGCTCAGTGTTTCATAGTCTTACCTTCAGGATCTGTAAGCAAGCCAGCTGCTTCACTAGGCAGCCTTTGACTTTATTTTATGTACAGTAAAGATGTTGTGTTCATTAAAGCTGCTTTCAAAGATAACCAAAAGTTACGATTATATTTGTCTTTTCAGAATTCGTACAGATGATGACTGCAAAATGAAGACCTACTTTCAACTCCTTTTTCCCCCCTCTAGAAGAATCAAATTGAATCTTTTACTTACCTCTTGCAAAAAAAAGAAAAAAGAAAAAAGTTCATTTATTCATTCTGTTTCTATATAGCAAAACTGAATGTCAAAAGTACCTTCTGTCCACACACACAAAATCTGCATGTATTGGTTGGTGGTCCTGTCCCCTAAAGATCAAGCTACACATCAGTTTTACAATATAAATACTTGTACTACCTTAATGATAAGGACTCCTTAAAGTTCCATTTGCTAATGATACACTGTTTGGGCTGGCCAGTTTTTCATGCATGCAGCTTGACGATTGAGCACAGTCAGGCCTTTGTATTAAAAATGAAAAATGAAAAAACAAATTCAAAACCTATTCAAATGGGTTCTAGTTCAATTTGTTTAGTATAAATTGTCATAGCTGGTTTACTGAAAACACACACATTTAAAATTGGTTTACCTCAGGATGACGTGCAGAAAAATGAGTGAAGGATAAACCGTTGAGACATGGCCCCACTGGTAGGATGGTCCTCTTGTACTTCGTGTGCTCCGACCCGTGGTGACGACACACCCTGGTGGCATGCCTGTGTTTGTTGGTTTAGCGTTGTCTGCATTGTTCTAGAGTGAAACAGGTGTCAGGCTGTCACTGTTCACACACATTTTTAATAAGAAACCTTTACCAAGGGAGCATCTTTGGACTCTCTCTTTTTAAAACCTTCTGAACGATGACTTGGAGCCGGCAGAGTAGGCTGTGGCTGTGGACCTCAGCACAACCATCAACATTGCTGTTCAAAGAAATTACAATTTACGTCCATTCCAAGTTGTAAATGCTAGTCTTTTTTTTTTTTTTTCCAATAAAAAGACCATTAACATAAAGTGGTGTTAAATGCTTCATAAAGCTGAGATCTAAATGGGGACAAGGCAGGTGGAGGGGAGGCCAGTGTACATTTAAATGCCCACAGCCCAGCATTGGGTTTCCCTCCCAAGGCCCCAGCACCAACCTCTGAGCCCAAGACCTTGCCTAAAAACAAGCAGATACCGATTGCTTCATCCTATGTATGGACATGTAGGTCTAGTTGCATTTTCACTGGGGGGAGGGGGGAAGGTGAATTATGGTAACTTTTAATGATCTATTCAGGCAGTAGAGCTCTTAAGGAAAAAAAAAAAAATCCACTTTCTCTCAAGCATGTATTTAGGGGTTGTTCTCAATTGTGCTGCTGATTACCTGTCTTATGTAACTACTTGAGACCATCTGCAAGAGACATGATTTAGTGTGTCTGTAATTCAATCTTCGCTGTGTGTGGTAGAAGCAGTAGTCACTTTTCTAAGCCAGTCTCTTCATGCCTAAAAGACACTACCAGTCACCTTTGATTCGCGACTTTTAATTTATGATTATACTTAACCTTAGCCTCCTTTTACTTTTTTTTTTCCCCCCTAAGTTGACTTGACTTTGCTTCTTTCCCCCCCCAAGTAGAACTAATGCTAGCTTCCAGCTTGAAAGTGAAACTCCAGTGTGGAGTGAATTTTGTGTCTAATTATAAACCTGTAACCAAAACTCAGACATCTGGTTCTGGTCTTTGCATTGAGATTGGTCCCTGTAAAAGCCCCTTAAAAGCATATTGCATTTAGTACAGAGCTCTTTTTTGAAATGAAGGCTGGAGGTGTGCATTTTTCACGGTGTTAGCTGGTTGTATCTTATTAGCAAGGAGATTGGGGTTTTGAGTGTTTGCGTGGGTGGTTTCAATTTGCCAGGGAACAGTGGCAGGCTGCTAGCAAGGCAGTGAGAAGCTCTTGGCAGCCAAATGGGTGCATTCAGGGCTGATTTATAGAGACCCTTGGCTTCTCCTTCTCCTACTCCCTGTCTTTCTGGCATTTTGTAGCTTGTTAGATTTTCTGCCAGAGGGGTGGGTCAGAGCAGTGGAGAGGAGACATCGCCCATGTGCTTCTGCTACTGGTCCTTGGGCTGGGTGGTTGGTAGAAGAGAGGTTGACACTATGAGGTAAGGGTTGGCTTTTATCATTCCCTGAATCTGAAAGGAATGCCTAAGGGTTTCTCTTCTGGTGTGATAGGGTTCCTGGTTTGAGTAAGTTAATGTCCTGGATATTTCTTGTGGCAGGGGGTGGTCAAAGAGCCTGATTGGCTGACCCAGTCTCACACCTGTGGTCGATGACCTCAGTAGTTTCAGAGGGGGCCAGAGGGGAGTCATTTGACTTGTTTTTTTTTTTTTTTTGAAATGTAGCCTTCTAACCCTCAAGTCTTTTTAGAAGCTGGGTGGACTGTTAGTGGTCCTGCAGCCTATCCTAAAAGACTACCTTTGAAACAGGATTCTTGTATGGCCAGGATCCTGTCTGGGAACCAGAAACCCTACACCCTCCCCCTCCAGGGAATGCTGAGTTCCTGTTGTGAGCAGAGGTGAGGCAGAATCCACTGTAGCCTTCCCCCCTGGCATTTGCGGGGATGGCCAACCCAGGCGTTGGGTGTTAGTCTGCATGAGTTTGCGAGAGGAGATAGCTGGGTGTCGTGGCAGTGCCCTTGAAGTTGGTTAGCACCTTCCTGTAAACTCTTGCCCCTACTTCTAACTACTCTATAAATATATACATATATTTATATATAAAGTGATTAGTTGAACTGGCATCCTGCTTTAGCCTGAGACTTGCCATAAGAAACTGCTGAGTACTTGGCAAACAAACCCTTTCATAGTTTTGTTCTCCATCTGTTTGGGGTAGGTGTTGAGCGAGGCAAATGGATCTCGATACTTCAGATGGGCTTTTGATGCACTGTTGCCAAGGAAGGCTTTTTCTGATTTTTTGACAAATGAATTTTTGCACACTTTCATTGGTGTCTTTCGGCAACTTAAACACACATTGAAAATGAGCTATTGTACATATTTTTATATTCTCTTTATAAATGCATGTCTGATTGTACTTGTAACAATATTGTAATGAACGGCTGTGCGGTAGGCCCAGCGCTGCTGTGTCTCGTCAGAGGAATAGCTTACCACGAACCCCTCAGCATACTGGGAACCTCTTCCTGAACAAAGAATGTAAATTTGGTCAAGTCTACTCTTCCGTTCATTCAATTATTTTAAGCATTTGAATTATTTATTGTATATCCTAAATATATTTATCCTTTGGCAGTGACTAGATTTCCACTAATGTGTCTTAATCTATTCCTCCAGCTGGCAGTTACTGTTTTTTTAATCCCTTGAAGTTGTCCTGTAGGAGACAGAAATTCTTTGCTGTCTGTATCCCTTGGAGTAAGAAGGTAGTGGCATGGGTGGAGTGTGTGTTCTTTCTCCAAATCTATTATGATGTTCATTAAACACTTCTGTAGCAAAGATGGTGGTAGTTCTTTTGTTACTGAAGTTGCCCTTCACCATGGCTATTTGAAAAGGAGATGTACTTGGACATTTCTGTAAATCTTGAGACAAACTGTTTGGAGATTTAACCACCTCTCTGATGGGGGACCAACTCTATGGAAATTGTAAATAAGTTTTATTTATAAACCTGGCACTGTATTCAATAAACATTTCTGCAGCCTTTCATCTCTAACTGCGAACTGTGTAGGTTTCTAGCTTGCATAGCTTTCAATCCCTGTTGCTCTCAAGGTAGACCTGTCCTCAGATGTAACTTCACTGGGCCTCTAGTACGGTGAGAGTGAGGGGCCAGAAATACCATAGACACATCCCACAACAGCCTTACCCTAGTTTTAAGTAGTTAATAGCTGACATTTTAACATACTCTCTTAGCCTATTAATTTGTCCATGCTTGCTTTTTATGCAGAAAATTTACACCATAAAGATTAGTTTCCTGTTAACCCCAATCCAAGTCTCTTTAGGACTTGTACAAAGAAATACATTTTTTTTCAGTAAGATGGGAATTTTAGATGACAAGCACATACCTTGGTTCATGTCAAGAGCGGGACAGCTGAGGAAAGTGGGGTGGGATGCAACTCCAATTTAGGACGTTGGCATCGAAGCCTTCCCCTTAGTCAACACCGGCCCAGACCCTGGTTCTCAGATGTGGCAGGGGAGGCTACCTTGTGTGTTTCCCACTCTGCCCAGAAGGAGTGAGAGGGCTGAAAAGTGGGGCAGGGTAGGTCCCTGCTTTGGACGGAAGGCTTGAGACACATCTCCAGGAAGCATTTAAACAGCCCCTCCTGCACACAGGAGCTGGGACTACAAGGATATGGACATCACCGTGGAGACGGCCCTCTGCTCTGAGGCTTCAGACCCAGCTTCTGGTTTTGGCTTTGTCCCTCCAGCCTTAGGCAGGTTCTTTACCTTTCCCAGGCCTCGGTATCCTCCTTGGTAAGATCCTATTGGACTTGGTACCTTCTGCCTGTGGCTTTCTAGGATTATGATCGACCTGGTTTGGCATCACCTTGTGTTTAGGTAGATGAAATTGCAGCCTAAAGGATGGGAGGTAAAATTGCGTAGGAGTGCGGTGTCCTCTGAGATGACAAATGGGATTTAAAAATTCTCAGCAGCTTCGTGTTGGGGGTGGAGTGGAGGTTAACCTTGCTATTAAGACGTGATGTCATATTGGAACCTGGGTCAGAGAAACTGATTGTTAAGTGACTTCCATTCTCCCAGGACGGAAATAGGAGGCTACCACTGGGCCTGTAAGGGATTCAGTCCAAGTGTCGTCATCTGGTTTTTCAGCAGCTCCGGTTTAGAAAAACACACATTTCCGATTCAAGCTGGACTTTCCCGGGCACTGGGGGGCTGGAGCACCCAATGACTCAGGATGCCTTAGAAGGAAATAAAACATAAAGCTTTTTATAGCTTGGTGCTTCTCTCCCACTGCCCTCAACTCTCTGCCAAGGAGTGGGAGGAGTTAGCTCATGGTCCAGAACTGTTAAAGCCCCTGAACTCCAAATCAAGTGGCAGTTTTCCTTACGAGAATTATGTTCTTTGTGTTAGCAGCCTTAGGAATGAGCGTGAATTGACACATTCAGAATGTGGGGTTTTTTTCTTTTTTGAGATGGGGTCTCATTCTCACTCAGGCTGGAGTGCAGTGGCACAATCACAGCTCACTGCAGTCTCAACCTCCCAGGTTCAAATGATCCTCCCACATCAGCCTCCCCAGTAGCTGGGACTACAGAGATGTGCTGCCACGCTCAAGCTAATTTTTAAAAATTTTTATGCAGATGCGGTCTCGCTCTGTTGCTTAGGCTGGTCTCAAACTCCTGGGCTTAACAAATCCTCCCACCTTGGCCTCCCAAAGTGTTGGGATTACAAGTGTGAGCCATGGCGCCTTGGCTCAGATAATTTTTTTTTTTTTTCTTTTTTTGAGATGGAGTCTCGCTCTGTCACCCAGGCTGGAGTGCAGTGGTGTGATCTTGGCTCACTACAACCTTCGCCTCCTGGGTTCAAGCAATTCTCCTGCCTCAGCCTCCCGAGTAGCTGGGACTACAGGCGTGCACCACCACGTCTGTCTAATTTTTGTATTTTTAGTAGAGATGGGGTTTCCCTATGTTGGCCAGGCTGGTTTTGAACTCCTGACCTCAGGTCATCCACCTGCCTTGGCCTCCCAAAGTGCCGGGATTATAGGCATGAGTCACTGTGCCCAGCCCCAGATAGTCTTTTAAATGTCGTATCTTAAAGTTTTATTTTCACTTTTACAAAGGCCAAAAGGAAAATCCAGAGTTTCCTCTAGCAACATAATTATTTGAACATTTCGTTACAACATAATCTTTAGATCCTGGCTGTATGTCAGCATGTTTGCTTTTAAACTAATTTTTCATTTTGAGTCTTTGTATACCCTTCAAGTTGTGATTTTTTTTTTTAAGTTACTGCATTTTTTAGCAAAAGATAGATTTTTTCCCACATAGACATATCAGAATCAAGATTTGAGATAGATGGTTTTAAAAATTGAAAATAAGTAAAACAGTAATTATAAAATCATATCTTAGTTAAAAGGAACAGGTCACATAGGTAAAACTTCCTCTGAGTGCGAGTATCCATACCTGGTGATTCTCAAACTTGGAATACTTCTAACACTGGACATCTAATCCTGTTTCCACAAGGCAGAACTTGGTCTTTCTCCCTTTCAATGACAAGAAGTTAATTAATGGTCCATTCCCATTTTTACAAAAGCATTTTTCTGAATTTAATAGAAATGCTGTTGATTATTTAAAATTTGTGATATCAAATGACCCACTACCCTATAAACTATGGTTGAGACTTTGTTATTTCCTTTTGAAATTTTTTCTCACCATATAGATGCAAAGATAAGAGTTTGCAACATGGGGTCCCACTGTATGTGGAAGTTTTTTTGTTTTTTTTTTTTTTTTTT